GACAGTAATGCTGTAGAGGTGGGGAGTGGCCTAATGGAGGCGAAGGGGGGCTTGAGGCAGGCCTTTAAGAGGTGAGTAGGATTTGAGTAGGTAGGATGTAATACCTGGACTATTCTGGAATAGAGTATCTGCACATAATAAAGTAGCAGAGAACTGGAGACCAGATTATGTTAGGTCTAAAAGGCAAATTAAGGAGTCGGCTTTAATCTTATAGAAAACAGGAAATCATACATAATTTATAAGTGAGAGTAACAAAGTAAAACTTTGTTTTAAGATGTTACCATTCTTCAGAAAAGCTGTAATGAAGGCAGTAGTGGGGACAGAAAACTGATGGGGGGGGGCCCTGACTGCATAAGAAAGAAGAGGATGTGACCTTGATAAAAGCTCTAGGAACATCAGAGAGGACAAGAATATTTGGTTTTATAAAGTTTGAAATGCAAAAGAGGCTCTTGCTTAAATATACAATTTACATAGTTTGCTTTTTACATGTTATTGAGGTGAACCAGCTGTCTCAGAGATAGAGAAAGCCCCCTTCTCCCCCTAGCACTGACACTGCGCAGTCTCCAGTGCCCTGCCACGGGAGAGCAGACCTAGGCCTGGCTGTGGAACTCGCTTGCATGTCCCTGTGGAAGTAATGCCACAGGCTAGCGTTTGTTCCAGGCCATCTCACACTGGAGTATTTAGGTGTATTACTGTAACATTGCTGCCATCAGAAAAGTACATTTTAGTTCCAATTGAGGTACAGGAACAAATCCCCCGACAGAGAAGTACCAGAGGTGAAAGCCAAAAGGGCTTAGGCAGTGTTAGCTTTCAGCAATTTCGGGGTGGGTTACCTTTCAGCCCCATACAAGAAGCCGCCTCCCTTGGTCAGTCACTGCCCAGGAGGAATACCAGTAGCTGCCCGGGCAGACTTCCCTCACCCCCTACGTTTGAGACAGGACACTTCTGATACATACATTCAGGTAAGTCCTAAGTCAGATGGTCTATAGTTATTTACCAAAAGTGAAAAATCACCACTGAGGTTCTTATATTTTATTAGGCATGAATACCCCATTTCTTTCGGGATTTGAACAATTAAATCCAACCAAGAGAGAGTAGTTCTTGCTTTTACGTATGTTTACCTCTTCTTAATACTGTTCAGTCATGCAGTTAAATTTCACACAAGAATGTGTGTATATATATTTTCAAATGGTTCTTCAGATTTAAATTACAAAATATACATATGTACACATTTTACTATAAAGGTGATAATGTTGCTCATCATCAGCTTCTGGGCTGTCCATCAGGAGTCAGCTCGTACCTGTAAGACAGTTGGGTTTGGACTTATGTTAGCACTGAGAGTGTGTTGTGGCCTCGTCAGGACAGTCTAACCCAGGAGTCGGCAAACTGCGGCTCACCAGCCACATGCGGCTCTTTGGGTACATATATGTGGCTCTGAAGTAAAATTGAAAATGAAAATAAAGCTATCATAGTTTCATTTATAAACATTTTAAAGGATATTATTCACATAATGATTATTTCATTTGTTTTATGGCTCTCGAATAATTTTTAAATTGTGAGGGACAGGATAGGCTCTTCCATCTCAAAAGTTTGCCGACCCCTGGTCTAGCCTGCCTGGGCCTGTGTGGGACCAGCGGAGCCCATCCCCCTGTAAGTTGGTCAGCCAGAGTTAAGACTAGAGCTTCCAGACACCTGAGGTAAGTGAGATCTGCAGGCAGTAAAGTCTTAAGTAAAGGTGATCACCAATCTCCCTCTTTGGTAACCAAAGGAGCTGAAATGTATTGAAAAGGAAAAACTTTGGAGAGTGTGGGCAACTGAGACAAGGGCTTGACTAGCAGATGAACTTGAGAAAACAAAAGGGCTCACTTACCATTTTGAGAAGCCCATAATCAGATCTTCTTTTGATAAGTCAATCAGTACCTAAACAATCACAAATAATCAGTTCTCTTCCCAAAAATGGCATTAAATGGAAACATTGGGATAAACGGAATTGATCATTGAAAGGGCCTCCTTGGGTTTTGGAGTTTTGAGCAAGGGCTCTTTTGCTTTGGCTTTCCTTCTGGGACCTCCACAAGGACGTACAGACACTGACCTCAGTTAGCGTCCTGGGAAAAGGTGAACTGCTGTTTGGAGTTATATACCTCAGGCGTTTATTTAGGAATGTTACACAACTTGCCTTTACTCATTAACTGATTCATAATTGTAAGCAAGACACCATAGTTGCCTTAACTGTAAAATGGGGATAACATCACCTAATTCATAGCAGTGGGCTTAAAAAATATGAGTATAAGGTGTTTGTTAAAAATCAGCTACAGGGGCTGGCCAAGTGGCTCAGTTGATTAAGAGTGTGAGCTCTGAGCAGGGTCACCTGTTCGATTCCCACATGGGCCAGTGAGCTGCGCCTGAGCTGAGTTGCTGCTGAGCTGCCAACAGGTGGCAGGATGGCTCAGCTGGTGAGAGCACATGTTCCTAACAACAAGGTTGCTGGTTCGACTCCTGCATGGGATGGTGGGCTATGCCCAGCCACAACTAAGATTGAACACGGCACCTTGAGCTGAGCTGCCGCGAGCTGCCGACGGGTGGCCAGATAACAACTGGACTTGGAACTAAGCTAGCTGCACCCTCCACAACTAAGGTTGAAGGACAACAACTTGGTTGTTCCCCTTCCCTAATACCCCAATAAAATCTTTAAAACAAACAAAAAAATACAGCTACAAAGTACTGTACAGATATCATTCTTTTGTCTGTCTTTGGCATCTTCCTGAGAATTATATTTCCTCTACTTCTGCTTTAAGTAAAATCCCATCACCACAAAAGTACTGATGTAATGAGATCCAAGCTTCACAACACACAATGCTGTATTTATCAAAATAATGCTTAATACCATAGATGTTCAAATACTTGTGTAATGATGAATTTGTATTTTCTCAAGTTTGTTAAAATAGGGGTCATCATATTAATTTATACATGTACATTCTTTAGTTTCAAGAATATTAAAAACACCACCCCCACCCACAAAACAAAAACCTCTCAATGAGGCTATATCCTCCTTGAAGTCAGTTCTGATAAGAGCCAGGTAATTCCATTGGAATCTCACCAAGGGTGCCTCCACCAGTGAACTCCAGCTCGAGGACTAGGCGGGAGAGAGTACCAGGAGTCCGTGTACTTACCTTTCCTAGCTCCTTCCTTCTGTGTGAGCCAAGCGGCCTACTGTTTTTCACTGCGACATCTAGTGACCTCTTCTTTACTTCTTCCATGGGAACAAAAAATTCAAATCTGTAAGAAGCAAAAAGCCAGGAAATTACATTTACATATTTTCATCATTTTTGTTGAAAATCTAAAGTATGTCATTCATTTTCCTACTTTTAAAACAGAAGATATAGACAATTGAGAGGAGCACCTAGAACAATATTGGCTCATAGCAAATCGTGCATCATATCACACATAATCGCTGTCCTGTGTTTCGCACAAACGCTGCAAGTGCTGAGACTGTTGGCCTCTCTGAGAAGTGCCTGGGATTACTGTGCTTTGTGGTTTGCTTTTCGCTTTCTCTGACTCCGCCTTGGCTGCCACTCTTCCATAGCTCCTTCTCACTCTGAGCAGTGCATGCTCATAGGACCAGCTCAGCCCCTTTCTAGGTTGTTTTTTTCTGACCAGCTAAGGGCTAGGATGCTGAATAGTTAGGTTTGCTGGAGTTGCATGGAAAATAGTGGCCTCTTCCCACTTAGGCCTGTGGAGTAAGGGAGAGGAATCTTAGTGTACAGGCTTTGTCATGTACTCACAAGAGGCCTCTGGACTCCTTCTAGGGTGTTTTTAAAATCTTTTTGTTTTATTTATTGAGGTATAAGTGACATAACATTAATTTCAGGTGTACAGTGTAATCATTCAATACTTGCATGTTGAGAATGATCACAATAAGTCTAGTTAACATCCGTCACCATAGTTATTTTCTTGTGTGCAAGATCCACTCTCCCAGCTTTCAAATATGCATACAGTATTAACTGTCATCACCATGCTGTGCATTGCATCCCCGTGACCGATTCATAACTAAAAGTTTGTACCTTTTGACACTCTTTACTCATTTTGCCCACCCTCACCCACCACCTCAGGCAACTACCAGTCTGTTCTCTATACTCATGAGCTTGGTGTTTTTTGTTTGTCTTTTGCTTTTTTTTTTTTTAGATTCCACATATAAGATCAGATAGTTATCTTTTTCTGTCTGAATTATTTCACTTAGCATAATTCCCTCAAGGTCCATCCATGTTATTGCAAGTGGTAGAATTTCTTTCTTTTCCATGGATGAAAAATACACACACACACACACACACACACACACACACACACACATTTTCTTTATCCATTCATCTGTCGATGGGCATTTAGGTTGCTTCCATGTCTAGCTATTGTAAATAATGCTGCAGTGAACATGAGGATACGTGTATCTTTTCGAATTCGTGTTTTCATTTTCTTTGGATAAATACCCAGAAGTAGAATTGCTGATCATATGGTAGTTCTATTTTTAAGTTTTTGAAGAACCTCCATACTGTTTTCCATACAGGCTGCATCAATTTACTTGCCCACCAATAGTGCACAAGGGTTCCTTTTTTCCCACATCCTTGCCAACAATTGTTATTGCTTGTCTTTTTGATAACAGGCAGGAGGTGATATCTCATTGTGGTTTTGATTTGCATTTCCCTGATGATTAGTGATGTTGAGCATCTTTTCATGTACCTGTTGGCCATCTGTGTGACTTCTTTGGGAAAATGTCTATCCAGATATTCTGACCATTCTTAATCGGATTGTTTGTTTTTTTCCTATCGAGTTGTATGAGTCTATATATATTTTTGATAGTCACCCCTTATCAGATACGTGATTTGCAAGTATTTTCCCCCATTCTGTAGATTGCTGTTTCATTTTGTTGATGGTTTCCTTTGCTGTGCAGAAGGTTTTTAGTTTGATGTAGGTCCCACGTGTTTATTTTTGCTTTTGTTGCCTTTGCTTTTGGTATCAAATTTAAAAAATCATCAAGACCGATATCAAGGAGCTTTACTACCTATGTTTTGTTCTAGGAGTTTATAAGTGGTACTAAGAGTGAAGTTTATAGCATTACAGGCCTACCTCAAGAGATAAGAAACATCTCAAACAAGCTAACATTACACTTTAAAGAACTAGAAAAAGAAGAACAAACTAAACCCAAAGTCAGCAGAAGGAAATAATAAAAACTAGAGCCAAAATAAATGAAAGAGAGAAAAAGAAAAAATAATAGAAAAATATCAATAGAATTAATACCAAAAAATGAATGAAACAGAGCTGCTGGTTCTTTGAAAAGATAAAATGGACAAACCTCTAGCTAGACTCACTAAGGAAAAAAAAGACTCAAATCAGAAATGAAAGAAGTTACATCAGACACCACAGAAATACAATGGATTATACAAGAATACTATGAAAGGCTACATGCCACTAAATTCAGTAACCTAGAAGATATGGACAAATTCTTACAAATATATAACCTTCCTAGACTGAACCATGAAGAATTGGAAAACCTAAATAGACTGATCACTAATAAGGGAATTGAAACACTAACCAAAAACCTCCCCCAAAAACAAAAGCCCAGGGCCAGATGGCTTCACTGGTAAATTCTACCAGAAATTCAAAGATTAAATACCTATGTTTATAAAACTTTTCCCAAAAATTGAAGAGAGAACACTTCCTAACTCACTTTACAAGGCTAAACTTACCCTGATACCAAAACCAGGCAAGGACAACACACAAAGAAGAAAATTACAGGCCAATATCTCTGGTGAACATAGATATAAACATCCTAAACAAAATACTAGCAATATATTACATTAAAAATATAACAAAACATTGAAAGGATAATACATCACAGTAAAGTGGGGTTATTCTAGGGATGCAAGGATGGTTCAACATACACAAATCAATGTGATACATACACCACACTCACAAAATGAAGGATAAAAAGCATGTATCAATAGATGCAGAAAAAGCATTTGACAGTAGACAACATCCATTTACGATAAAAACACTCAATAAAATGGGTATATACTTCAACATAATAAAGGCCATATATGACAGAGACTCAGCTAACGTACTCAATGAAAAACTGAAAGCTTTTTCTGTAAGATCAGGAAAAGACAAGGATGCCCACTCTCATCACTTGTTCAACATAGTACTGGAAGTCTTAGCAAGAGCAATTAGGCAAGAAGAAGAAGTAAAAGGCATCCATATTGGGAGTGAAGAAGTAAAACTCACTATTTGCAGATGACATGATTCTATATATAGAAAACCCCAGGCTTCATGAAAANGCTGCTTTACTGGGAATTACCTGCTGCAGTGGTCCCACCTGTGCCCTAGATGGGACTGGCAATCCTGAGGGCCAGTTTTATGGTTGCCTCTGACAGGGTTTCACATAGTTCCAGGTTCTACACCAATTTTCACATTAGTTTCAAGGTTTGGGGATTTCTATACCAAGTCAGTGGTGTGTAACTTAACACCCTGTGAATCCTTTAGGGGACATGTTTTCACCCACTGCTGACAACTAATTCCTTGTTCTTATTGGCAGCAAAGGTGTTTTCTGATGACACAAAATTTTTCAGGCTCCTTGTCCCTCACACAGTAGCCTTGCCTCCTGTCAGATGTATGCTAAAATTCTGGTTCCCTTCAACACTTACACATCCCTTTAGCTTCTGTACACTGCTTTAGATTTCCTCTTTGGACCATCACCGGGAACCTTACCTGTGTTACTTTTTATTTAACATGTTTAAAATAAATGTTGTTCATGGTTTAACTAGGTTTCCCATGTGTTTGAAAGAGAAAGGATAGGTTTTTGTCTGCTCTGTCTGCCATCTTGATCAGTAGCTGTTTTAGGGATGCTAAATTTCATGATGTGATATGTGATACATGACCTCTTTTCTGGTGCTTTACTATTTTCAAAGCACTTGTCTAATTAGTGGACATTTCAGTGCCATTGTGAGGTAGACAGGACAGGCATCAGTTGCCCCATTTTATTATGAGAATTTGTCACTCAAAATATAAAAATGTGTCCTCATCCACCTTATTCACCAAATCAGGCACTGTGCGACTTCTGGTTCTCCCCCAAAGTCAAAATGACCATGAAATGTAGACGTTTTGAATCGATTCACGACAGCGCAACTAAAGACATTCACAAAAGAGGACTTCCAGAACTGCTTCAGAAAGTGACAAGAATGATGGGATAAGTGTGTTTGAAGCGAGGGGGAGTGTTTTGAGGGGTATTAATGACAATGTGTCTTTTACTGTAATATATTTTTTTTATTTTAAACATTCACCGTATTTTTCGATCAGGCCTTGTGCCTAATAAACATTTTTAAAAAATTAAATGTTACAGGGCAGGGGATTGTTAAAATGAGAAGTGCACAGTATTGACAGTAATGCTGTAGAGGTGGGGAGTGGCCTAATGGAAGCGAAGGGGGGCTTGAGGCAGGCCTTTAAGAG